TGCTAGAAGTGTAGAACATAGGTTTTTTATTTTCTAAAAGAATATATACTAGATCGTTATTTTCCGATTGAAGACTTGCTAGCTTTATCAATTTTTCATTGATAAGAATAAAATCAAATAAAAGGCTTCCATTCCTCTTTATGATTATCGGTTACGTATGAAAATCATGCCCATTTTTCATATATAAAGTTCGGCATTTAAAAATCGTAACCAATCATTGCAAATTTATACATTTTCATTTGTAGATCACGTTTAAATATGCATATAATGAATTTATATGAAATCTTATCATTGTAACCTAATCAAATCTATCTTAAAGCTCCGAGTGGCATTAAACAAAAATAAAATTGGTTTCTTTTCAGCAGTTTTGTTTCTGTCAGTTAAATTTTTAAACCTTTCGCTAAACCCTCAAAGATCGATCTTACGCCAGATATACTCAAATCGCATAAAATTTCCCGGATATATGTAGGGGCTATAGTGAATCTAAACATACTTAAATCACGGCTCAAAACTCTGAAAAAAGTAGAGTCATGGTGCTCTGTATATTAGATTTTTCATTAAAATAAAATAACGAAAAAAACTCGGGTTTTTTCCAACTTCAACTTATTTGGCTTTTTCCACCTTGCCGTTCTGACGTCATACATATCTCGAGGCATGTGTTCTTTTTCTTTCTCATTCTTACTTCCGTTTCATCGTATTGAAGTAAGTAACGCAAACACTTCGTTATTCAATCGCAGAAGGAAACTAAATTGTATAGAACTATTTGATGGCTTCATTTGAACTTATTGTGATCATTTTTGGTTCCAGCAAAAGTATTTCAACTGTTAATTTACGATTACCAATTTCTTTCACACTTGCTATTGATGAAACATCACTTATAAGTTCGATTACTGTCGATTCGCAAACTTTCGATACATGTTTACATCGATATTTTGTTGTTCTTCTTGACACAATTTCTGATGAACTTTTCGATCATCTTCAAATCAATCATCAGGTTCAAGCAATTTACAGTCAAAACGATTTTGTCAACGCCACAGAACGACATAAATTACGTCGTTTTATAAATAAACAATGGCAACAACTTTCGTTAGATTTAACATCAGATATTGTATATTTTCTCACAGTTGAAGGTGAAAAACAAGCAAAATTGGAACAAATACCGTTGGCACAAGTTTATTATCGTCAAGCACGACTATTGAAAGAATGGGCCATGTCGTTTGTCAAAGTATAACATATCTAATTAGCTTAGTTTTGTTTTAAATCTCTTCTATTTTTTTTCAGGCTGAACCATGTCATATTCTGCTTATTCCACTGAATAGTAGTCAAGAAAATTTGGACAACACCTATGAAAAATTACAAACAGTCTGTAAGTATAAAAAAGAAAAATATAGACTATGGGAAGTGATGACGTAATATTGTGTTGTTCTATTCAGTACGAACGTTTCTACTTCTTGTTTTGTGCTATAAATAAATTACAGAGTCGCAAAACGTCCCGTTACCTGGTAAAAAGTATATAAAATATAATCCTTTTGTCCAATATTTTGAATACAAATAGAGCACGATAAACTTTGATCGCAAACAGCAATCCGAGATTGATAGGATTTAATACAAAGATTGATGAAAAAGTCAATGTTTGTTTCTTAGGGCGGCAAAAAGGCTTTATTGATAGTTTTCTGATTTCCCACTATTTAAATGCGTTTATTTCTATTTTCTTATTAACAAATAAAGATTGGTATGTCTATATTGTGTCACGGATAGGGTACTACATAATCTGCTGAAATCTTGAGAAGCATGAAAGCTTCCATTGTCTGAAATAGTCTCGACATGAATCTCTTCTACATTGATTGCTGACACTTGCCATGGAATTTTTATTGGTGATAAAAGCAGCCCTGAATTGTGAAATGATATATCTAACATCTTGAGATTTATTTTCTATGTTGAAATATCTTCGTCTGAAGAAAAAACTTATATTAACTTTCTAGTACCTTCGTATGAAAATAGTGCAACTTATATGTTATGTTTTCTGGAAATAGATCGTAACTGTTACATTTGGTAAATTATTTATTTACGGTTAGTATCTTAAATTTTCGCTGAGTGGTCTACTATAGTATGAGATGTTGAGCTCACTTTTCACTTTTTCTCCTCTCTGTATTATTCACGGTAAACTGAAGTAATAAAATAGCTCAATAAATATCATTGTCAAAAGTGATGACAATTTTACTTTTCTAGTGCAATGCATAGAGTTATATTAATCTTAACTGAAATATTATCAAATATAATAAATTATTTATTCAGAATTAGAATTCTTTGGCATCTGTACTTATAGGTACTAAACTCGGTTATCCATCAGTTATCATTCGAACACTGGACAAATATATTCCTATCGATGATGCAGAAAAACTACAATTAATGCCCTATGCTTCACATTTATTTAATAATGAACATCCACATTATATCTGTGAATTAATTAAAAGATTATCATCAATAAGATTCTATTTATATGGTAATGATTATTATATTTCAAGTGAATGGAGTAATTTGATGATTACTCGAGAAATTCATGTCATGGAAGATGAAGATAATTGGTGTTCATTTCTTGAAAATGAACTTATTGATGATGAAATAAAATGGAATTTTAAACCAATGTTTGCAGAAAAATGGAAAGTAAAACATATAGCACCAATTAATATAAGTAATTTAGATAAAAATCTTCGATTTCAATCAGCACTTCGACGAGCTTTTAAAACATTTAATCAACGTCAAATTGAAATTACAACAACAATTTTTGAATGGTACGATCAATGTATTCGAAATGGTTATCTTCAATTAGAAGTAAAAATTAATTTTTTTTTTCTTAATAAAAATTAATTTTTTTTTTTCATATAGCCTAAATTGACTAGTCAAGAAGAAGAAAAACTCACAAAAACAAAAATCGAAACAAACATCACAGTAGATCAACATACAGTTCAAAATTTATCTATCACTCGAGTTCATCCAGCATTGAGAAAGAAAGTAGTTTCATTTATTTGGCTTGATGAATTTCTTAATTTTTCTCAAGAATATCTTAATCGAATAATAAAACCATCGACATGGTACTTTTTTGATGATATATCAACTTGTATACAATACATTGAAGATCAATTACAAGAAGAAAAACAAATATTTCTTGTTGTTTCGGATATACTTGGTCAAAACATATTTCTTAAATACTTTGATCTATTGTCATTAATTCCATTCGTATATATCTATTGTTCTGGACTTAGTCTAAATATTGATTGGATAAAAAATTATTCTCAAATTCAAGGAATTTATAACGATTCCATAAAACTTGCTGAACAAATACAACAAAATCTACATCAAAGTTCTCAATCTTTATCTATCAATAATAATAATCTGTACCTTAACTCGACTACAAATCAGGTAAAAAAAAAATTCAAAATCTAGAGAAAATTTTGATACTTAGCATTACTAAAGACTTCATAACAAACTGCTGTATCTTATGTAACAAAGAATTTCAAATTAATATAATTACTCTCTCGATGTGGGTGTCAGGGAAAATTATAGACGATTGAGGGTAAAAACCTAAAACTTGAAGGGTAATTATTTTTCTCAATTGAACTTGAATTTTCAAAGAATAGATTAATACTTAAGAATTTTATTGTACATTGATTATTTAGCTTGATTTACAAACATATAATATGTCATCAACAACTTCATTATCATGGATTCTCTATAATCAAGAACAAACTCATCTATTCTTAGCTCAACAACGTACAATTGATAATCTTCTTTCTATGCCACATACAATTGAATCACGTGATGAAATGCTTGTCGAATATCATCGATTCTATCAGGATAATACATCAGCTCTAGCTGAAATTAATACATTCGATAAAAGTTATAACTCAAATATTGCTCTTCAATGGTATTCACGTAGTGGATTTCTTTATCGAAGAATTAATGAAGTACTTCGATCAAGCGATACTGATGCAATGTATAAAATAAGATATTTTCTTAAAGATCTCTATGTACAACTCAATGAATTATACACACAAGAAAGTTTGTGTAATTCATATAATCAACAAGATGCAACAATGGTTTATCGTGGTCAGCATATGTCTAAAACAGAATTTGGATATTTTCAAAAAATTCAAGGTAATATTATATCTATCAAAACATTTTTATCAACAACTAAATCATTACAAATTGCAATTGATTTTGCAAATACACCCGTAGATCACAATGATATGATTCAAGTACTATTCTATATCAAAATACATTGGTTCTGTGAATATATTCGACCTGTTGCTAATATTTCTAAATTTTCGGTTTTTCCAGATGAAGAAGAAGTTTTATTTGCTATGGGTAGTATATTTCGTGTTCAGAATGTTGATATATTAAACACAATAGATAACATTCCTGTTATATATTTAACATTAATAGATCGAAAAGAATTGATGAACAATAATTATTAAACAACAATCATTTGAAATAATTTAATCAATAAACTTTAAGAAAAAAAACAGTTCTTTTTTTCGAGAATTTCTTTTATTATAAATAAATTTAAAAAAAAACTATTTTGTTTTTATACAAGTATTTCTCACGTTTCAAATGAAATCTAAATTTATTGCGAGTTTAATCTTTATATTGCACTTTAGAAGTGTTTAAAAATTATTGAACGATTCATTGTGATAGAATTTTGTACTTATTCTTTCATCAATAATACTCTTTCACTACTCGAAACCATATTATTTTATACAAAGATGAAATACAGTAATAGATAAAACATGTGCTGTTACGAATGTTTAACTGTAAAATCAATAAAAATATTAAAAAAATTTGATCGTGAGACGCGTCTGTACTCTTTTGCACGTAAAAGAAAAGTACATTGTATATAATTTCATAGCTGTCATTAACACGTCATACTATTAATCCTACATACTCAAAGCAATAAAAAAAACATATTCTTCACAAATGATAGACATTTCTCACAATCTTAATTATCCATTATGAGATGTAGAAAATGTACTTTTTCCATTTAATGATAAATGTATTGGTTGTGTATTAATTATTGATATTGGTTCTTATAGTAGATTGTATGTTATTTTATTTGGTGTTAATAAATCAGAACAAAGACGTGAAATTGAAACATGTTTATTAAAAAATATTATTGAGTAGTCTCGTGAACATGGACATACATCTATTTATCTTCATACAACATATTCTAATGAAGATACCATTAGATTAAATGTGAAAGCTGATTTTCAAAAAGAATTTCATCAACCCGAGTATACTGAAGAATTACTACAGTATGGATCTGATGTACTTCCAATGATATTATTCATATAAAAGATAGTGCATCAACTTTGTCTAGTAGTGATGTTTGATTTTGGTTTCAAAAAAGCGGCTCTTGTTCTGGAAAGGGTGGTGAAAAGTGCTATTACTCAGCGTCATAAGGTATCCATTTTCACGCCAATATTCCTAATGTTCCCAGACCAATTGATTGAGATCAGGAGTCTCATAAAAATCTTTATAACTCTTATACGAATCGCGATATGGATATCGTAGTTGCATAAATTGAATAAAAAACTACAGATCCTCATCTTCTTCTTCTTCCTAGAGAAAACTAGATACAATCATTATATTATTGAACAGAGAGTAACGTTTTTCTATAGAATATTATCCAATACATAAATCAGTTCAATTTAGTTCACATCAGTTTTTTATTTTGTTTGGGAAAAATATTGTGCTGTTAGATGTTCAAAGAAAAAAAATATTTTATTTGTAAATTTAATTTATATGTTCCAATATTAAGACATTACGTCTTTCTTTCCGGACAAATTAGGTATGATTTCTTTACATAAAGCTTTGAATAAAACAATAGATAAGTCGTTTATATAGGATTTTGTTTTGGTTGCCAATTGTTATGATAATCTCAGATATTGTTGGTAGTGTTAGTATTGTTGATTGCGAGTGTGCCTGCAAATATAATGAAAAACAATTATTAATAAGATTGAATGTTATAATTAAAACGATTGTTCTAGTTCTGTTGATGAATATTCTCAATGAAAGACTTTAAAGTTGGAAAATTTCTCAATGATTTAGTTATACATTCTAATTTTTAAGTTTTCTCCTTTAAGAACATAAAAAAGTAATTTATATTGATGGAACTTAGATTACAAACCATTTTCTGTCGATGTATCTCCAGCTGTCGCTACTGATATAGCCATTGTTGTTGTAATATCTATAGAGTTGGTAAATTAATTTTAATTATATATCAAATTTCTTTGATATATCACACATGATACAGATAACATACCTTCATTTATTGTCAAAGTTTTATCTGTTGTTGATTCATGTATCGTTTGCATTATCGTTGTGGTTGTTATTGCCATATCTAATGAGTTTATAAAATCGAAAAGATTTTCATTGATTGAATTATGTTTTCAAATTGATTACATACCTTCTTTTGTTGAAGAAATTCCATCGGTTGTTGATACATATGTTGTTGTTGTTGTGGTGGTGGTTATTATTGCCATATCTAATGAGTTTATCAAATCGAACAGATTTTCATTGATTGAATTATATTTTCAAATTGATTA